CTCTTTCCTGAGCTAGTCTCATCTCCCCACTGCTGTGGAGCCATAAAACATAACATACCCTTCCCTTTCCCAGTTCCAGAATCAAACACACCCCAATCTATGGTTGTGCTGGGATCAGCATCCCCCATCTGCTGACACCTGTCAATGGGAAGGGTCTGGACTCTGTAGGATGCTGCTTGCTGTAGTTGCTGCTGCATGTGGGACCCTAAACATACAGGAGATGATGTCACCCTTTGCTCTTTGACCTCCCTGGACTCCAGAGCCAGCAGGAGCTGGGGATACAGGAGATGGAGCAGTGTCTGGTAACTGGCCCTGCTCATGTCTGACACTCACTTCATTCCAGCCATGGGCAATAGCTCATCCCTTGAGTACAACAATTTATGGATGGAGCCAACTGCCACCTAGTCTAGGCCTTCCTTTTGGCTTTTATACAGGCCAGCATAATTCATTTGAATATCACTGAATCAGGAACTCATCAGGGTCAGCAGGACAAGGCACATGAGGACTGTCCAATAACAATGTGACAGCCCTTAAAATCACAGCAGGGGAGGCATCTTGGTTGTGTGTGAGGAAAACATCCAAGTCTCTCTATTACCCACCCCCCCCCCCAAAAAAAAAAAAAAAAAAACCCACTCAAGGCATTTTCCATCCCCCAGGAGCAAATTCAGGATGCACTGGAGTTCCTGAGGGAAGAGAGAAAAAGGCTTGAAGACCTGAGAGTGAATGAGAGTCAGAAACACCAAGAATATCAGGTCAGTGCTCCTGGTGAATATCAGGTCGGTGCTCCTGGCAGGGGCAGATTAATGCACAGGACTGTGGGGCATAGGCCCAGGTGCCCCTACCATTCACTGGCCTTCTGGGGTGCCAGGGGAAGCATGGCCCAGGCAGGCATCCAGGGCAGACAGCGTGTGCTTCTCCCCTCTGACTGGGCCAGACTAAAGACTAGAGGGTAGGCATAAGGCTCTGTGTGAGTGGTGGTGGCTTCCTGAGCCCATCTGTTGCTAGGAGGCCCCATGGGCAGCCTCCCTGCCACTCTGCCATCTGCGCATGGCCACTGGACCAGAGCTGCTGGGACAAGACGGGATGGGACAGAGGAGCAGGCGGGCAGCTGGGGGCAGTGTGGAGCCCATACCTACCCCAGGATAGCCCCAGCCCCACCCCAGGCCTATCCCACAGAGCTGGGGGACCATAGCCCCGGCTGCATGACACACAAGCAGAGGGGCCAGGCTGGATCTAACACTTCCGATCATCAGTCTCACAAAGCCTTGCTCTGTGTTGCCTGACTCTCCCCAAAGCTCCTGAGCCCCCTACCCTCATTTCTTGCTGTTCATTGAAGGAAATGACAAAGGCCGAGAGGCAGAAGGTGGTGTCTGAATTTAAGCGACTGCACCAGATGCTCGAGAAACAGGAGCAACTCCTGCTGGCCCGGCTGGCAGAGCTAGAGAGGGAGATTGAGAAGAGTCAGGAGGAAACTGTCACCAAACTCTCTGATAAGATGTCCCATCTCAACTGCCTGATTAGGGAGATGGAGAGCAAGTGCCAGCAGCAGTCAAGGTATCTCCTGCAGGTGAGGCACATTAATCTCCACCTCCCCCTGCTGTCCCCCCCTGCCCACACAGGAAAAGGGGAAGATCTGAATGGTGGTCCTTGGGGAGGGGGTTGTAATGGGAAAATATTTACCTAGATGCTGGTGTGTCACACTCAGGCAGTCAGACTACACCTGCCCCTGGAACAGGAGAGACCCCAGTTGTGGCAGGTGGCACTGAGCGCTCTCTTCCCTCTTTCTCTCTCCCCTCCAGGACATCAAAAGCACATTGAGCAGGTAGGTGGCCCCTTCTCACTCCCAAGGGTGGTCAGGGGCCTGGACACTGTGATATGGCCACATCTCCCTGGAGCACCACAGCACTGCATGGGAGCAGATTTAACTTCAAAGGTTTGGTATTGTTAGAATACAATCCTTTGATAATGTTCCATCCTGAGATCAATACAAACTCTGAGATTCTCCCTGGGGTGGGAAGGATCCTGTCTCATCCCAAGAAGCGTTATGGACAGTTCAGAGCTGCAAAACGTTAATCCCCACTCTGGCGGGAGCCAGTGCTGTTACTGTCTGTGCTGCCCCTGTCCCGAGGCTGAGGGAGAAGGAGGGAATCAGTCTTCAGGTCTGTCCAGCTAGTAAAGGCTGCTACCACGAAGCTGAGTTACAGAAAAAAATGGAATGACACTGAATTGTTTTTTCCCAGGTGCAAGAAGGAGCAATTTCAGCTTCTAGGAGGGATTTCCCCCGAGCTGCAAACCAGACTCAATAACTGGTCTGAATTAAACCTAAGGGAGACTTTTAGCCTGCTTCAAGGTACTGAGGAGGGATTTCATAGATATTAGGTCTGGAAGGGACCTCAGAAGATCATCAGGTCCAGCCCCCTGCTCCAGGGGCAGGAAGTCAGCTGGGGTCACAGGATCCCAGCAAGATAAGCATCCAAACATTTCTTAAGAGTCCAGAGTAGGTGCTTGCACCACCTCTGAAGGGAGCCTGTTCCAGGCCTTGGGGGCTCGGACAGTAAAGAAGTTTTGCCTTACGTCCAGCCTAAAACGGTCTTGGAGGTGTTTGTGACCATTGGACCTTGTCATCTCTTGGAGCACTCTGGTGAACAGGCATTCCCCCAGATCCTGATGACACCCCTTATATACTTGTAGGCTACCACCAGCCTATAAGTATATAATGTTGTTGGGAGATAAAAGGGATGTCCCCTTGTGTGTGGGGAGAAGACAAGCTCTGGGCACTTAGAATCCTGTTTCATGTCACACCCCAAGATGGCATGTACCCAGCTACATAAGGGTCATCTTTCGCATCTATGCACAGTTTGCCATCCCATTCCACCTTCCACACAGCTACTGTGTGTACCCAGCTGGCTGTGTGCAAGCCAGTCAGCTCTGTGGCATCATGCAGAAGTAGCTAAACATGAATCCAACACTTAAAGCCCAGAAGAAAGTCTCCCAATCTGCACATTTTAGCCTAGTAGACTAGTGGTTATAGTGTTGACTTAGGAAGGAAAAGACACATGTTCTGGCTCCCTCAAATGGAGGGGATTGGAATGTGCATTTTTTCCCCACTTCCCATGATGCTAACCAAACCACTGGGACTCAAAGGTAACATGTGTCCCAGGCCAATCCCCAGCCCTCCTGTTAAAGCTTAACCCCTGCACCTTGTGTTTAACATTCATTGGATAAAAGGGATGTTTCTTTCCCATTGGAGCCAGGCTGCAGGCTGACACCCAGGACCTGCTTTTTCCAAGAGCAGCGGACAGCTCACTGGGCAGTGCCCTTCAGATCTCTGTCTTCCTCCTGGCCCCACATAGTGGTGTGAGCATGGGACTGAAAAATCAAACAGAGGCAATTTCACACTACTGTAAGGTCCTCATCTCCTGCTGCCTGAGCAAATGCCTGACCTTCAGGGTTATCAGGATGAGACATGGGAAGTCCCTCCTCCAGGGCTGCTGCTAGACCTGCCCTGCTGGGCCACAACCTTCTGCACATATTTGGTAGCCATGTGGACCCTTCTGTTTTCATACTACCTGGGAAATGGGATTGAAACCTGTGAGTAAGGGCCAAAAGCCGCAAATCTGTGACTGCCACATGGCTGTGTCAAGAGAAATAGGGTTCTGCCTTCCTTCTTTCTTTGATCCTGCCTCACTTCTATCAGAGCAAGCAAATTAACACACAGGGCCGAGACAGGTACAGGGTGGATCAGATCAGGAGTAGAGGGAGTGCCCTGCATGAAGCTCAACCTATGGTGTTTTTTACCCTTTGGCCAACTCTTTTACTTCTCAGACAGTGGCAAGGTGTGTCCTGACTTCACCAACCATAGAATTAAGGAGTTTGTAAAGCACATCCCTGTTAGTGGCTACTTCACCAATATCCTTGTATACATCTTCTGTGACCATATTGTTTTTCCAGACAACCTGCAATCTTACCTGGAGAAGGGCTCATACTCCAAGGGTAAGTGCTAGTGAAGATCTGTTTGTATTCACAGAAAAGTACCACTGCAGCCCTTTGCTCCCCTCACATGAGAAACTCTCTCACAGTCCAGCACCGAATCCCCCCTGTTTTGTGACCTGGGGGTTTGGGCTGGGATTTTCTTGCCTTGGCTTGTGGATTTACTGCCACATCTTTCCTCTTTCATCTGGGGCAGAGGATCTCCCTGGTACTAGGATAAGGAGCTGCAAGGCCACCTCTGCTCAGCCTCAGAGGCCCAGGACCGAGGCAGCTTCTGGGGCTTAGGACAGTCCTAGGCAGGACAGGGTTGCTGGGGAGGGTGACAGATAGGCCCTGAATGCCCCAGGGCTGAGCTCTGCCTTGATGCTATGACTCTCTCTCGCAGTGATGGTGACTCTGGATCCACACACGGCTCATCCCTGTCTTGTTCTTTCTGTGGATTGGAGAAGTGTGAGACGTGCAGACACACAGCAGCATCTGCCCAATAATCCTGAGAGATTTGACAGGCACTGTTGTGTGCTGGGCCGTGAAGGATTCACCTCGGGGAGACACTGCTGGGAGGTGGAGGTGCAGGAATGGGGATTCTGGGCCATGGGGGTTGCCAAAGAGTCTGTGAAGAGGAAGGGAAAGATCCACATTAGCCCTGAGGAAGGGATCTGGGCTGTGCAGCGTGGGCTTGGTCAGTTCCAGGCTCTCATGTCCCCTCATCCCACCCCCCTGTCCCTGCGCCAGGCACCCAGTAGGGTGCGGGTGTGTCTGGACTATGCAGGGCGGCGTGTGTCTTTTCTCGATGCTGATACTGAGGATCCAATCTATGTCTTCCAGCCAGCCTCATTCAATGGGGACAGAATTCGGCCCTGGCTCTGCCTGGGTGGTGTTGAAGTCAAGCTCAGACTGTGTCACTGAAATGGGGGTGGGCAGGGGAGATGTCCCGCAGGGAATGATGGACTTGTCCACTCCAGCCTCCTGCTGTCTGTGACCCAGGGGGGATCCCCTCTCCCAGCCCCCATGGCTGCACCTCTGTCACTCTTGGAGCTGCAATGGGTAACAGGGCACAGTCTGGATACACAGTCCCACTGCAGCCGGTGTCACCAGGCTGGTTTGTTGCTGCATGCTATAACTCTGGAGGACTCCAGCAAGGCTGACCGTGCAGTCCCTCTTTTTGGAAGCCCCTGCTGGAGAGTCTGTGCCCTCCCTCCCAGTCTATAGCAGCCCATGGGATCTCTGCAAAGCCCTGCAAAGTGCCCCTTGGCATCTTCTGGTCAGGGAGGCCCCTGCTGCAGGACATGTGTAGGGCTGTGTGGGGTGAGGAGCTGAGCCCTGACAGGACCTGCCCATGGGGAACTGCTGACCTGGTTTGAATTTGGGTTGGTTTCAGTCTGCATCCAAGGCTTCTGGGTAGGGGTTTTCAGATCTCATCAGTGCCCCAGATCCCATCAGGTGTAGTTGCCTCAGTCTCCTCTGTCAACAACAGCTCCACTGCACTGGACACTTGCACTATTGACAGAAGCAGAAATTTGAACAAACACCTTCACTTTTTATTTTTAAATGCCTTTGACTCCTTGGTGTTAAATTTCCCCTTTTTCTCCCTGCATCTCACTGCCCTGGTTCTGCCCCATGTTCTGGCTCACGTGAGTAGGATGTCCTCTGTAGGATGGACACCTCTTTTCTGTTCTTTGCTGCAGTTCTTGTACCTTAGTGACCCATCTAAAATGAACTTGAGTTAAAAATCTGGGTCACATTATTATTTACACAAGAGCCCATTTGCTCCCCACTGGCATCAGCTTGGAGTCGACTGGGATAGGAACTCCATCGGCCTTCACTGTATAGACCTTCCACAAAGCTTCAGAAATACGTTAGGAGTACACATCCCACGAAAAGGCAATGGGCTCCAAAATGAGGTGGATGTTTCTGAAAATCTCAAGTTGGGTAGATAGGTGCATCAAATCTTTTCTTGTTCCATAGCCCTATAGACTCAGGCTGATGCATTTCATGTAAGATAGGGATGGGCAATTATTTCGGCTGGAGGGCCATTTAATGAGTTTTCATGATCTGTCAAGAGCTGCACACATAAAATCTTTAGAAGATATCATTTTAACAAATAATAGTTAAAAAAACAAATCATGTACTAAAAATCAAACATTACTGTAACTTATTTTAATTTTATTTCAAAAAATATTTTGTCCTGTTTTGGTTTTTTGAGTCATGTATATATAAGTGATTGCAGAGTAGCTCAAAATAAAATCTTACTCTTGTCTATTGTGGGGTCAGGGTGAGATATATGTGTGGATGGGTGGGTGTGGGGGGTGGGTTTGTATGTGGGGTGGGATGGGTATATGGAGGGCTGCCCTCATGCTAGGTCTCAGAAGGGAGGGGAGGGAATGGGGTTCGTGCAGCAGAGCTTACCCAGGTGGTGCTGTGCCAGTGCATTCTGCTACCCCATGCATCCTGAGGCTGCCCCCATGGCACTCCACATGGGACTGGACCTCACCCACACCCATCTGGAGCATCCTTTGCCACAGTCCTGGCCCCAGCCTCGGCCCTGTCCTTGGTCAGTATGCATAGCTTCCTGGTGGGGCTGCTCCCTGTGCTGCTGCAGCTACTGGGGTATTGCTCAGCTCCCCTTGCCTCCAGTGGCTTCTCCTTCTGCCCTTGCTGCACCACTCCAAGCAGCGGTGGCAGCTGTGAGGACATGTACCAGGTACCACACAGCCAGCTAGGTGGAGGGGATGCTGCAGCTAGGCAGCTCCTGTGGTGCCCAGTTCACCTTCAGCAAGCAATGTCAGGACAAGTGAGGAGTTTGCAGAAAGATCTGGGACAGAGCATTGCCTGATTTCTTCTTCTGAACAATATGCCGTCATTTGTCCAGATTTATCCATGTGATCCAGAACTGCCTTTTTCTTCTGTGTATGTGTAACGGGGGGGCCTCCCCCATCACTTGGAATAAGTAAGGACAAAGTTGCAAAACTGGTGCAGCCCAATGAAGAGGACTGAAGGACTCAGCCTGAACATTACAAGCAACAGAAGAGGGGATTAGCAGCACCTGGGTGTTGGTAACAGCAAGGCAGGTCAGGTTAGCAGATGGGGGAAGAGAAAGGGCCATATAAGCCTGATTCTGGAGCCCAAGGCTCAGACTGGCCCAGATCCTTGCAGCAGAAGGAGCCTTGCAGGTGTGGTGGATGCTGAGACAAGTGATGTGTTTTGTTTCTCTTACTATTTAGGGTTTGTGTAGCCCCAGAGGACTGGCTGATGGAAAGAAGAAGGCCACAGCAGGGTGCCTGGTACATCCTGGATTTTTAGCCATGCAGAGGGGCAAAGGGAGTGAGCTGAGAAGGGCTAAGAAGGCATGGGCCCCAGCAAAGGCAGCCTGTCCGAGACTGACAGGAGGAGGATGCCTAGAAGAGCCTGTGCCTCAGACTTGAGGGGCTGATGCCCAGGCACAGGCACAGCTGAGGCTAAGGGGCTGATGACCATAGGTACAAGTGGGTCATGAATTGGAGTACCTCAGGAACCCTTTGTAGTGTGAGGGTCTAAGGCCCATATGGAGCCCTGCCAGCATCCAGGACCTGGTAGGTAGGGTGGCCATCATAGAGGACAGTCTGGTTGTCCTCAGTCCTCTATTGATATGAAACCAGACACCTTTATGTTCTCTATTTTTCTCTAAGAGTCAGACCAGGAGTCTAAGAGAAAAATAGAGGAGATAAAGGCATTGGGTTTCATATCAACAAAGGACAAAGTAGCAGAAAACCAGAATGTCCTCTATGATGGCCACCCTACTGGTAGGTAGCTAGGGACTAGATGAGTGAAAGCCCTGTGCCTGTTTGGGTATGAGATGTGGAATCGCTGTAGGTAGTGTGCGCCTCTAACCTTTGGTTCATAAATGAGAAGCTTTGCTGCCCTACTAAATATTTATTCCTGAAAACTGCCGAAGTCCCCCCCAGCCTGCTGAGCCATCCTTCCATTTTTCCAGTTCCTTTGACAAAGAAACTGTGCTTGGCTGGCTGCATATGACAAATGGGATAAGGCTTAGTTCACCTTCATGGGCACTTGTACACATGCCTGGTTTTGGGGGAGGGGGGAAGGGCTTGGGTATTTTTGTATTTTGTTGTTTTTTATTCCCAATCAATCTATTCTTCATGTCTTTCTGTCCCCCAAATGTTTCCCGTAATTACATGTGACATCCTAAAACTCCCAATTGCTTAATGTGCTTTGTGGCAGGGCACCTTTGAGTGCTGGCCACTTTAAGGGCAGAGGCAGGCAGCTGCCAGGAGCCTGATGGCAGCACCCATTTTGAACACTAGGTATATAAAGGCTGCAGTTTGCTACTGCTAGCCTGGGCAGAAACATCACCTGCCTGAGCTACAGCAGGAACAACTACAAGTAAGAGCAGGAGGCTCTTGGTGCTGGGCATGACCTAAAACTGCACCCTGCCAGAGAAGGTTGGCCGGTGAAAGGTGAGTAGGGGCGTCTTAACCCTAGCCCCCGACATCTAGTGGGTAATCCTGAGAGCTGGGAGAGTGGTGGGGTCAGGTATGCTCAAGTGTAGGTGCCCGAGCCCAGCAGGGATGCAGATCCTGGAGCCCCCAGAGGGGGTGTGTGTAGAGCGTTGGGAGGCCATGCACAGAGTAGGGCTGCAGTGGGAGTAAGCCTGGAGGCCAGTGCAAGGGTCAGACCCATGAGAAGTTGATTGCAGGCATGAGACGGAGTTTCCCGGTGAGGGGATTGGGGCAGAATTAGTCCAGGGTTTGGCCCAAGGGCGGACCACATAGGGTAGGGGCACTCGCAGGAATTGAAGGACTGTGTGGCGAGGCCAGTATGCAAGTAGCAAAGCCTGATGGCCCAAGAGGGGCCACTCAAGGAGGAGCAAGGGCAGTGGAGTATGGCCCAGTAATGGGCAGTATGCCAGAGGCCCCGGTGAGAAGTGGGTGGCGTGGAAGAGGCCTCCTGTGAGAGGAGAGGCGGTGTGAATGCATCCGTGAGCGAAGCCCAACTTTGCTCCGGGTTTGCTCCGGTCTCAGTAATACTAATCTGGGTGCCATCTGTGAGGCATGAGCTGTGGCGTACAGGAGGTTTGGAACTGCAGATAGTGCCGCCTGGCATTGGGCGGGTGCTCCCACGTTATACCACCAGTTTATGGGAACAGCAAAGTCATGGCAGACGAGACTGGGTGAACTGCCCCATAGAGACAGGGTGGCCCGGCATGAGGCTCAGCCCCGAGAGTTGCATCCCCCATCACATGCTATTACAATTAAAATATGCCAGAGGGCACCTCATAACAATTCTACCCTGCTGACCTCTTAGTACTAAATTACAGCAGAGGGCACTGTCAATATGTTGTATGTGCTATCTAGTTTAATTAAGTGATGTATCTTACCTAATTGTAATTTTTAAGTTTTTCATCATTGTTTTAGATTGGTACACTTATTGCAAGCAATGTCTTCTGACTTGAAGTTAATCATTTTGCCTTATATTTTTAAACTGTTGTAATTACTTTGTAATTTAATATCCTTTAATTTTTTTTTTTAATTTGAGTAAAGTTTTATTTATTGTTCAGATCCACTGTGTGGCTCTCACTTATTTTCTCCTTTGAACATGGTGCTTGACCAGACATGTGGCCAAAGTGAGTTTGTGGGTGTTTTGAGTGCTGCTCAAAATCTGCATTGCTGGCCTTCCAGCCCATGTTGTATGACAGTTTGTCTGTGTTTTAATTTTGGGGGTCCCACCTGAACCAGCCCCTGTTTGCAGCTGACAGTTGCACAGCAGCCCCAGGCAGTGAGGTAGGAGTGTGTTTGGGGGGGGGGGGGGGGGGGGGGG